GACTGGGAATGGATGGGTCACTACAAAAACTAAAAACTAATTTCCCCATGCTAATTTCCCCTTATTGTTACTCACACCTTCTTGTCAACTGTTTGAAATGGACAACCCTAACTACCACTACAAAAGTGATTCTTCCTCCTGTTGATAATTGCCCACTTTAATTGAATTGTCTCATTAGAACTTACCCCCCACTTGGTAAGACAACTCCCATCTTTTCATGTGCTCTGTATATATATCTTCCTACTGTATTTTTCACTCCATGCATCTGATGAAGTGGGCTGTAGCCCACGAAAGTTTATGCCCAAATAAATGTGTTAGTCTCTAAGGTGCCACAAGTACTCCTCGTTGTTGTTTTTTATAAATGATCCATCACTTTTGATGTTTGGAATTTGTGTGGAGAGGAGGCAGGAAAAAGAGAGCTGCACTGTTAGGCTCTATAGTAAGAGCTTGTCTACACATGGATTTATTTTGTAATAACTGTTCTACTTTAAATTCAGACCCTACTTTATTCCTTCATAATTTTATGTGTAGATGAGACCCAAGTTAATACGTCGCAGTCACACAGCAACAGCGCTCTGGCCACACAAGTCTTGAAGCTCTATATTTACTTTTCTCCTTATTTCCTGAATTGTCTGAAAAGTGTTTTTAGGTGTACTTTCTGAGAAAATGGGGGTAGAGCAAATCCTCCACCCTCTCTCCTTTTAAAAAATACCTAAAATGTAAGAGAAATTAATGTTTTTTTTTTTAAAAAGAACTATTCACAACAGCTTATGCTAAAATTCAAATTGGTGCGGAATTTCCTTCCCATTCTTTCTTTCCAAAAAGGTTTCACTTTTGGTTTTGGATACAGTTAAAGACTAAAATATATATTACTGATTGTTCCTGTGGGATATCTTGTATCCTGGGGTCATTTGCACACCATTCTTGTGCCTATGCTACTACCCACCCACTCATCTGTGGGCGCTGCTCAGTATATAGACCACAACTTCTTTGTGGCCTTGACTCTGTATCCATTTGACATGAGTCTTTTTTTTTTATTTCAAAGGGGGGGTTTGATGGTCGACAAATAAACTTATCTCCTTGCATTGACTCTGTGATAAACAAATACTCCTTAATATTTTTAAACAGGTCTTTGGATGAAGTTGACTTCTATCACGCATACCAAATTATTTCCCTGCTGTATTGCTGATTAATTTTGGTTGCAGCTTGCTTGAAGGCCTTTAAACATAAATCCCAATTTCACACTTTTGGTTGTCCTGTGCTCTGGGAGAAATATATATTTTATATTGAAGACCCCTCTTCCCCCCCCAAAAAAGACAAAATTACATTGGGGTAAGAATAATATAGAACAAGTTTGTTAAAACGTGTCTCACGGTGATCAAACTGATGATGATCCCAATGAAGTTAGAACATTGCAGGCCATTTAATTTTTTTTTCCAAACTTTTCTTTCCCAGACCTGGTTCCGTTGTTCCTACAAATTTGTTTCAAGGAATTAAAACAATTAATCCAACGTTTCGAGGCTACTCCCAACAGGTAAACCTTTCTTAGTATTATCCAGTATTATGACAATGAAGTGTCAAAAGTATAACTGCATGATTCAGGTAGATTAAATTGTCAGATTCAAAACTTGATAAAGTAGAAAAATATGTATTTAAACCAAGCTAATCATAAACTTTTAGTTTTTACCTTTCCATGCTTTAAATCTATATCCCCTAAAACTCCTCTCTAACTTTTCTGAATCACAGACTTCTGTGCTGAATTCTGTTGACAAACTGCTGAAAGGCCCCGTGACCCTTATGAATGTCTCCTTTCCCTTTCTCAGGGACAAGCAGCAGAATGGTTAATATCAAAAACTTGTCACCTGAAGTAAAGTAGCTGACATACAAGCTGTTCCAGAAAGTGACACAAAAGTCTTGCTAAGCAAACATAAAGAATATAATAGAGCAAACTTTTACCATATTAATTTACTATTTGAATATTTTTAAGCTGAGTTGCTAGTATCCAGTTTTTTTGTTTAGACAATGAGCCCACATCTTTTCTTTTCAATGTTACTGGTTTACAGCATTATGGATACTGAATACTTGTGTCCTCCATCTCTTGTATAGGTAGTAATTACTTGTAGTGGGCAGGCATTGGTGGTTATGTGACTGAATTATATTGTAGGTGCATTCTTCAAATCATCTTTAATGAAGTGTGTTCTAACATACCTATTTTACTGTTGAAAACATATTTTATTAAAAGCCCTATTGTGGGGACCACATTTAATTTCCAATTTAATTAAGAACCAGATCCTTAATAATTTTGTCAGATTCTCTGCATTGCAGTAGTTTATATTGGAAAACTTTGGTAATTCAGTATAATGAAGTTAGCAAGTGAAATGGAGGGTTAAACTGTATTTTTGATATACAAATAGTGTCGGTGGTGTCAAGTAAGTGTTAAAATAGCAAACCACAGAATTGTTGTAGATGCTTTTCATTATTACTGACACCCTAACTTACTGTTGTGTCCAGGGTATCCACAACTTATTCATGTACCTAAAGGAAGAAATTAATTCACTAATTCAGGGGAAAATGGCAAGATCGTCTGCAGCTTTATTAACATACATTCCTTCAGGGGAATTTAGTCCTTGCAAGCTAAAATTTGGAATGAGCGTAACATTCTGTACTCCCTTAAGTATTTAAGGGGAGACCCCAATGTTCTTCCTCAACACATCACCCTAAGTTACTCACTAGGTCCCCCCCCCCCCCAAAAAACGAAATCTGGTCTTTTGTGTGCTTTTACCCTATACTATACAGATTTCACAGGAGAGACCAGCATTTCTCAAATTGGGGGTCCTGACCCAAAAGGGAGCTGCAGGGGAGTTGCAAGGTTATTTTAGGGAAGATCGCGGTATTGCCAGCCATACATCTGCGCTGCTGCTGCCTTCAGAACTGGGCAGGTGGGGAGTGGTGGCTGCTGACTGAGGGCCCAGATCTGCAGGCAGCAGTGCAGAAGTAAGGGAGACATGGGATGGTAATACCATACCATGCCATCCTTACTTCTGCTCTGCTGCTGACGGCAGCTCTGCCTTCAGAGCTGGGATCCCGGCCAGCAGCTGCCGCTCTCCAGCTGCACAGCTCTGAAGGCAGTGCTGCCACCAGCAGCAGTGCAGAAATAAGGGTAGCAGTACTGCAACCTCCCCTACAATATCCTTGCAACCCCTCCCCCCCACACCACCTTTTTGGGTCAGGATCCGTACAATTACAGCACTGTAAAATTTCAGATTTTTAAATAGCTGAAATCGTGAAATTTATGATTTTTAGACTCCTACGACCATGAAATTGATCAAAATGGACTGAATTTGGTAGTGCCCTAGGAATAACATAGTGAAGGCAGGGAACTATGCAGCCTGGAAATTATTGTTGTTCTCCTCTCCAAAAGGCAATTGCAGGGGAGCTGGGAGTCTGAGAATGGTGCCCTTGCTGGACCACTGAGGGGAAATACAGGTGCAGTAGCCCTGAACTGCGACAGTATCTCTCCCCCTAAAAGAATTACCAGCCACGGCAAATAGGTCAAAAGTTTTAAATTTACATGTGTACAGATCATTAGGCTGAGGGAGAGTCCCGGAAACCAAACAGTGGTGACACTAATAATTTGTAAGCAAGTAAGAAAATGATTATGTACCAAACTCCCGTTAAACCCACCACCAGTGGACCAACAGATACCCTCTTAATAAATAGCTACCTGTGCAACAAGAATAAACGATGGCTAAGAACAACAAAACTAGGAATTAATGAATGAAGGTGGAAGCACCAGAAACCAGGAAGAAGTCAAACTTCTGCCCCCTTTCTGCTCTTATAAGTCCAGCAGTGAGCTCAAGCTGAAAGTAAGCCAGCAGTGCCATTGCCACTGTAGCCCACCCACTCCTTCCACAAGAAGTTGCTGAGCTGTTAGAGAATGAATCTACAACACTCCCTTTGTTTCCTTCTCCTGTCCAGGCAAGTCTGGAACAGCTGGAGGGCTGGGACAAATTAAAGTCGATTCTTTTGAAAGGTGCAAATGTGGTTTCCCTGACCAGTGTACTTAAGGCGCTGATTGGGTGTTGCA